TGCAGGTATTATGAGCAGTTTTGTTCTGTTTACCAAGAGAGGCAAGCAGGAAGTTCTTGGACAAATGGAGAGAGAGAGCGGAACAGGTAGGTTGCTGGGAGAGGCTGAGCTGACTTCCTCTTTTTGTTTAAGGAGGGAATCCAGGATAGGGGTTCCCACCGAAAGCTACTTTAATGACGTATTAAGAATAATTAATGCAGCAGCTCAGGCACAGGAGTTGGTGAGATCACCCACTGAGAAGATACCAGGAGGAGCACAAATAATTCTGCAAAGAAACACAGGTATGTCTCAATGAATTTGTTCTCTTGGAAGAAAAGATTTCAAGGTTCTTTATTTGTCATTCGCACCACATGTGGTGGAACAAAATAGCATACACAGGGTTCCAGTTACATCCAACAAATGTATAAAATGTAAAAGAAAAACGGTAATAATGATAAGATTAATGCTAGAAAAGAGGCTGAAATGTTAACCACGTGCCCAATAATGAAACCAAACAGCCCTGCCAGCAGTGAAATACGCCCTCTCCAGCTCGTCCTGAAAAAGAACAACCAAAAGTTAAGTCAAGTCAAGTCAAGTCAGATTTATTTATAGAGCACATTTAAAACAGAAACTGTTATCAAAGTGCTTAACAAAAATATCACATCATCAGATAAAAAGTAGCAAGATATATTAACAGCACATGGAATAAAAATATAAAACCAAAAACAATTAGAAACAATGAAATACTAAATCAGATCACGATGTGTCAAAAGTCAAGGAAATAATAACAAAAAAGCATAAACTCAGTCTGAAACAATGAAATACTAAATCAGATCTGATGACCTTGTGTTAAATAGGAATAATAACAAAATCATAAACAGAATCAGCATCAATGAAAAACCAGATCTAAAGCTGATCACCCTTTGTTAAATGTCAGTGAGTATAAATGTGTTTTTAGGAGAGATTTAAAGGCAGAGACTGAGGTGGCCTGTCGAATGTTGATGGGCAGATTGTTCCAGAGTTTAGGGCCCACGACTGAGAACGCTCGATCTCCTCTGAGCTTCAGCCTGGTTTTTGGTACGGCCAAAAGCAGCTGGTCTGATGAACTCAAAGCCCGAGAAGGAGTATAAGGATGAAGAAGGTCGGAGAGGTATGATGGTGCAAGGCCATTAATGCACTTGAATATCAGCAGGAGAATTTTAAAATCAACTCTGACACGTACAGGAAGCCAGTGAAGGGAGGACAGAACCGGAGTAATGTGCTCAAACCTGTGAGTTCCTGTTAAAAGCCGAGCTGCAGCATTTTGTACGAGCTGGAGACGTGAGAGTGAAGCCTGACTAACCCCAACATAAAGTGAGTTACAGTAGTCCAGCCGGGAAGTAATAAATGCATGGACTACTTTTTCAAGGTCAGATCTGGACAGAACGGACTTAAGCTTTGCTATCTGCCTTAGCTGAAAGAAGCTTTTTTTGTAGAACAGAGTTGATCTGTTTATTAAACTTAAAGTCCGAGTCTAACACTACCCCGAGATTGGTAACTGACTGCTTTAGATGAGGCTGAAGGGAGTGCAGGTTTACAGGATCAGTGACAGTGGTAGAGCTTATGGGTTAAACACAATGACCTCAGTCTTCTGAACATTAAAACTCAAGAAGTTTGCAGCCATCCAAGTCTTGATGTCAAGTTAAGACATGCATTCATAACATTTGAGTGGGACATTGCAATGATATATTTACACAAGTTTAAAGTCAGAATCACTTTATTAACCTTTCCTGGAAACAAACAAGAGTTGTGAAAACATCTGCTAGTAGAAAAACAGAACAAACAATAGCACAATAAAAATTTATGTATTATCCATTCAAAAGTGAAAGAAATGTGGGCGGGGTCAAAGTTTAGTTGTAGGCGGGGTTAAATATTTCACTCCCACCCACATATTTTACCGTTTTACTGCAGAGGCATGGTCTGGGGTACTTGACAGTGCAGCTAGATGAGCAAATAATGATCGTTTATACAGGAATCGCACTGAGCCTCGGGGACTCATTTACAAGAGAAACCTGATTTTTTTTAGAGCGATGACAACAGTGGATAACAACGATGACAATCATAAAAGAGGCATACAATTTTTTTTTTTACTTTTTTTTTACGATGGCTTTGGCATTTAAAATAAACCTTGTTATTCAACAAAGTAAAGTCAATTGTCAACTTTGTTGGATTTTTTTTTTTTTTTTTTTTTACCTGGATTATGGATAACTTTTGATGTTTTAAACCTTTTTATTGTGATGTCTCAAAAACCTTGTTAAAGGTTAATAAACAATAAACCTTGTTATTATTTACTTTCACACCAACATCTCAAATATTTGGCAAGTTAATCTAAATTGTGTTAGGATCCATATGCTAAATCTTAACTCCACATGTAGTTTCTCTGCAGACATGTGTGAAATGCTGCCTTTCTCGGAGCGTTTGTAAGACGGCGGTACTTTTGTCAGCACAACACCGACCGATGCCGGAGAAAGTAGAAAACGAGCGAACCCGGAACTTGCGCTAAGCAACTTCCGTTCTGAGAAACAACATTTGGCGCGGGAGACTTTTAATTGAACACAGAAGGATTCAGCTGAGAGATTATTGAGAAGATGGATGCCAGTGATGAATCAGTTCCGTGACTTTATTTATTTTTTTATTTTTTTTTGCTGTGTTACATTTTTGTTCTCGTTCGGTTTATGACCAATAGAGATGCAGAACAACACAAGCGTCGTTAGTTGATGATTTCACTTAACAACACGACCTGCCCGCCAAATAATACAGCACAAATAAGCTTTTTAAAAACTTTAAATTTCATAGCAAAATCACCTGCTTTAAGTTTGTCCAGAGCCGCCATGAACAGAACCAAAATGAAGATGAAGGTGAGTCCGTTCTTCTGAGGATGTATCTGTAACGAACTGCTGCTTCTCTGCTTAAACTTTGAAGGACTTTCCTGCATTTTGTTTCCCTTGACACATATAACTGTTGTCAATGCACAAAGTTGTTAAATTACTAATGTTTAAATAGTTTTAAGGTTTGTTTATGCTGCGTTCTTGTGTCATTGAAAATGGAGTTTAAACTACTTCACTGTAATATAGTTTTTGAAACGAGTTTTTCTATTTAACATCTAAACAAATGGCACGTGTGATAAACTCATATGTTTGTGGTTGGTTGTCAGGCACCTCCAGGGATCTTTAAAGGACAACAGAACATTTCGTCATTCTTTGTCCCCAAAAACCCAAAAGTATGTTTAATTATTTGCTTATGTCATTTCTCCTCTTGTGTCTTCCAGCTTGATTCCATGATTCTGAAATTACTACATGTGATGTTATTGTTTATTACTGTTAGTTGTGTGACGATTCTGTGGCACAATTGATGATTCGCATATTATATATTACTTAAGCAGCAAATGTACGACATTATGGTCCAAACATTTGCTTAAATTATATAATCTCTAAGCACAAAGGCTATATTATCATTGGTCAACAAATAGTTTTTGTTTTCTTTGATTCAAGCAGTTTATATGCTGCTACAGTAGCCTAGAAAGGACACATAAATGTGTAAAATTGTTTTTTCTCGTCATATTCAATTTGAGATGGGTTTCGTTTACAAATCATCAGCGGATTGCTTTCCTTGTAGGTTTCGTCGTCTTCCACAAATGAGACCGTTTCAAGTGTTCTCACCAAAACTGAAGCTTGGATCAATGGTGGTAAGAAACTAAACTCCCCATCAAAGAGGAATGTCCTAGGTGATTTGGAGAACGTCCTTCCCACTTCTCCGGACCTCCTTCTCTCAGTCCCTGAAACCCCCAACAGTCAGATTAGGCTCTCCTCCTCCAGAGAGGAGGATCAACTGAACCAAGAGCCCTGCAGAGAGGCTGCGTGCAAAACTGATGTCTGCCTGCTGTCCCCCATCAGTCGCAGTCCCAGTGCTAAAGGTTTAAAACTACAAAAAATGACAGAGAACGGGGGAAAAAACAAGAGAGAGGACAGATTATCTGGCCCAATAAAGAGACTCTTCACCCCTCCTGAGGAATCTCACACTGCAAAGAGAGTAAGAAGTTCACCTAAACTTGTGATCAACTCCACAGAGGTCAGCCTAAAAGGAGAGAGGCCTCTCGCTGACCCTGTGAGGACACCTCAGCGTAACTGGGACCAGTCTGATGGCTGGTCTGAGAGTTTGATAGGCGAGCGTGGAGGTACAACAGTGAATTTGACAAAAAGCAAAAACTCAGCGATTTCTCTGCAGTCAGTTTCTGACCACTTGGTGGGCGAACAGAGAAAACGGGAGAAAGAAGAAAATGTTACATCTGATTTTGCCGTAATAACAGAGCTGAAAGCGGATGAGACAAAAACCAGCAGAAACCTGCAGAGCTGCCTAGACGAGGACATTTCCACGGTTACCGCTTGTGCACAGCCAGCCACACGAAAACCGGAGCAAGAGGATGTCCTGAAGGTAAAAGAATCTACAAGAACACTAGAAACAGATGGAGATGCAGACAACAGGACCGCTTCAGGTCAGGAACAAACTACAGGTATACCCTGTCATTTAAAATGCCTTTTACGTTTGGAACGTTGTGATGCATTTATGCAAAAATTGAAAATGTTTGTCAAATGGTGTTTGATGCGAACATGACCGCTTAGAAGTTTTAAAAGAAAACTAGTCAAGTCAAGTCATCTTTATTTGTAGAGCACAATTTAAAACAGATAAACTGTTATCAAAGTGCTTAACAGAAATGTAGCAAAACATAGGCAGCAAAACAAAAACATCATACAGAATTAAAATTACTGGAGCAATAACACACACTAATGATCACACTAAGGAAAAACAAGCAGTAAAAATAAACGTCAATCATAAAACAACAGAATTAAAATGAGGTACACAGAACAAAATAAACTAACTCACACCGTATTAAACGCCAGAGCAAACAGGTGCGTTTTAAGGAGGGATTTGAACATCAGGAGGGAGGAGGCCTGCCTGATGTTGAGGGGCAGGTTGTTCCACAGGTTGGGACCTCTGACTGAAAAAGCTCGATCCCCTCGGAGCTTCAGGCGTGATTTCGGAACGACCAAAAGAAGCTGGTCCGATGATCTCAGGGCCCGAGACGGAACATATGGTTCCAGGAGCTCGAAGAGGTAGAGGGGTGCGAGGCCATTTAGGCACTTATATGTCAGGAGGAGAATCTTGAAGTCGATTCTGGATCGCACAGGAAGCCAGTGAAGGGAGGACAGAACAGGTGTGATGTGCTCAGACCTACGTGTACCAGTTAAAAGCCGAGCAGCTGCATTTTGGACGAGCTGGAGACGTGAAATGGACGCCTGACTGACCCCAGCATAAAGTGAGTTACAATAGTCCAGGCGGGTTGTGATGAAGGCATGGACTAATGTTTCAAGGTTGGGTCTGGATAACACTGGTTTGAGCTTAGCTACCTGCCGCAGTTGGAAAAAACTTTTATAACTATAGTGGAAATGGTGAAGGTTCAAAATATGAATTGTCACATCATTACAGTATATCACCGTTATTACTTTTGTTTGTTTTCAGTGTATCATTTTTGTTTTTTTCCTTCATATCAAAAACAAGAGAATACAGGAGTGGCGTCTGCGTGTCCTGTAGACGACGTGTTCGAAGAGAGCTGGTTTACAGAGCAAATGGACGATGAAGAGGACATCGAAGAGAAGCCAAAGAAAACGTAAAAACATCTCTGGCTCATTAAGCGTTCCAAAGCAAACTTTTGTGTATGTGTGACACAATTCCTTTTCTTACAGTAAAGTACCAGATCATGTGATTCTTTTTGGGGGCCAAAACAACCGGTATCTGGTTGTGGATGTAGAGGAGAGACCATCGCACAAAATGCTGACCATCTCCTGCTCCAAGTCTCTTCATCCAACGGAGACGTGCCTGCTCAAAGACGGATGGTAGCGCTGCCTCTTCGTTATAACGGCACACCTTTTTCTTGCATCGTTAATCGTTTCAACCTGTGCCTCGATATTTATCGCTTTTCTTTTTCTTCGTGCAGTTTTAAAGTTGTCTCGGTTTGTGGTCATCCAAATTTTGTGACTGTTTTTATTTGTACGCACATGCAAATGATTTACAATGATTGGTTTTCACCTTGGTTGTCGTCAGGGAGACTACGCCAGTTTTTCGTGGTGATGTGGTGCACCTGGAGGGTTTCTCCGAAGGTGGTAGCTGGTTAGTCGACAGGGAGCAGGGTTTCCTGGTTTTATTTCCAGACAGCCTCGTCTCTGGAACCAGCATCTCGAGCTCCATCCGCTGCATGCGACGAGCAGTACTGGGAGATCTGTTCAAGGTGAAAGAGCTCAATATTAATCACTCCTCATTCTATAATGTAATGTCATTTTTAAGAAAAGCATTTTTTTTTTTATTAATTGCTTGAACTGAGATACGATAATAATGTTTGGATGTTTGAGTATTTGTATATTTTAGCGTGGGCAGTTTTAATTCTCCCTGACATTAAATTTCTCTTTTCTTTTTCTCTTTTTCTTTCCTTAACGCAGAGTTTTGATGGCGGCTCCAAGCAAATGCTCAATGGCACCATGGTCCATGAAGTCTTTCAGAGAGCAGCTACAGCTAAAGATTTTTCTTTGCAGAAACTTTCCGCGCTGACTGTAGAAGCTCTGCGCAGTCCTCGTTACCTTGGAGAGATGTAGGTGTTTACATGAGGCTGTAGGCCGCTGCAGGTTGTTCACAGCATGTCTGCAGTGTGAGTGTGCACAGAGCACTTACGGAAAGAAGGGTGTAAACTATTAAACCGTTTGGGGAAGCTAGTGGCTATTACAGTAAAGTTGTAATTACCTATATTCAAACTGACAAATAGATTCACAGTTTGGTTGAAGTATTTTTGATTTTTAGGTTTTTACATGGGCTCGTTTACATGCCTTAAAACATGTATAACATTTAAAATCTTCTTATAGCAGTTGGGTTTCGTATCTTGGGGATTGTACCAAGAAGCAAAATTACCGTAATGGCTTCAACTATTGCGTTAAAGGACAGCGAGAGTTTAACCAGTCAGTCCAAATGAATGCGTTTACAGGAAACATTTATACTGACTGGGTTATAATTCTGATTAAAATCCAACTTTATTTAAAGCACTTTAAAAAAAAACATACAGGACCCAAGTGCTATACAGACGAGTTAAAAAGCACAAAAGGAATAAAATACAATTTGATTAAAAAGGCATAAACAGCTATGCAATAAAAATTTAAACTATTAAAGAATAAAAATGAATAAGTAACAATAATGAATTCAACATCACACATGGTGTCTGAAGCCTGGGAAAAAAAGATGGGTTAAAAGTTAAATATGCAAAAGCTGTCGCTGTCGATAAGCACTAAAAATGTGATCTTTCATTTACAGTCTTCACCTAATGTTTGTTTTCCACTGTGTTTTACTTGTGTTTACAGGTACACTTTAGGTGTAAGTCAGGAAGAAATGACACAGGAAGTGAATGAATATCTGCCCTCACTTGAACATTGGGCTAATGAATACCTCTGCTCTTCAACGCCAAAACCAATCAGCCTGAAAATGTAGGTTTAAGTGTTTCATCAACGTGCTCAGTTTGAAAGTTACTCACAGTTTAGAACGTCGTTACTCCAAAATTGGTTTTACATCCTCTTGAGCTGATGATGTCCGTCTTCTTGGCCTCAGTCCCAGTAACAGCCGAGCTCCGACCAGGTGCCAGGACTCCACCGCTGTTTTCACGATGGCTGAGTTGGCAGATATAGAGGAGAACATCTGGTCCCCCAGGTTTGGCCTCAAGGGGAAAATTGACGTGACGGCAAAAGTTCGAATCCAAAATCCACGGAACCGCAGTCGCGTACCTCCTGAAGAAAAGACCCTTCCTCTGGAGCTGAAAACTGGAAAAGAATCAAACTCGATAGAACACCGCAGTCAGGTTGGCGGGTCTTCACTGGTCGTTTGATTTTAAATCAAGTTAAAATTCAGTTTTAATTATCGCAGTGTGTTTCTGCGTGTAGGTGATTCTGTACACTCTGATGAGCATGGAAAGATATAATCCTGAGGTTGGCCTTCTGCTTTATCTCAAGACTGGTAACATGCATCCTGTAGCAGCCAGCCACATGGACTACCGAGGTACAAAACCAACAATAATAGATCCATTCTCTGATACAGACATTTGCATGTCATTCCTCTGGTTAATGCCTCAATAGTATCAACTCCTGCAGTGCAAGTGGGAAAAAAATACCATTTTATTTGGTGTAAAAAGAACGTATTGTACTTTTCTTCTAAATTAACATTTAAAAATTTTTACAGAATGGTCGTGTTGTGGTAATAAAGCGACAGTTTCTTCCTAATATTCATTACTAAAAATGCATTTTATTCAGAGTTGCTGAAGCTGAGGAACACTTTGGTTCACCACATTCACAACGGTGTGAAGAAATCTGCAGATCACAGCCAGCTGTCCAGACTTCCTGAGATTTTGAGAGACAGACAAACCTGCAAGTACTGCCCTCAAAGACTGAACTGCGCTTTATACCAGAGGTAAAAACTTTATGCCCATAAAAAACCACAGGCATCTATTGTTTTAAGAAACTAAAATCTTGATTATCTATTTTGTTCTCCACTTTGATTCTTTAGTTGTCTCCTACTGTCTCACCGTGTGCCTTTTTTATCTCAGAGTGGTGGACTCGAGCTCGGCAGATGTCAGTGAGGAGGTTGTACGCACCTTTCTGGAGCAGGAAACCGCTCACCTGACTCTGCCACATCTGAACTACTTTTCTCATTGGCTGCTGCTCTGCTGCCTGGAAGCGTCCACAATGGAAGCCAAGAATGGCCGAAAGCGAGTTTGGCTGCAGTCGGTTGAAGAAAGGTACTTTGAGCGTTTTTGTATTTGTGGAAAAATAAGTTTACTTTAAGATACCTGCTATCTTATGATCTCATTCTGAGTCCGTTTTGGCTTCAGTGAGAAGAATGGCAGCTGTGTGGGGAATCTGCAGCTCAGCAGCCCGGTGACTCTTCACTCTGAAGGCGTCCTCTTCCATCGTTTCCTGCGCACTAGTGTTGCTCCATCGGAGGGTTTGACCAGCTGTGGTCTGACCAGCGGGGATCGCATTGCTGTCAGTGGCCAGGAAAGTCATTATACTGGGTTGGCGACTGGCTACCTCTGTGAGGTCAACAGAACATCAGTCAGTTGCACTCTTGACAGGTAAGAACAGATTCAAATGTTTTAACCGGTTAAGAGCTTTGAATATTTATAATGCATCGTTTTAGTTGTTTACCTGAACTTGTATGTTGGTGTTTAAAAGGGACCTGTCAAAGTTCAGCCATGTGTTATTTCGACTGGACAGTGATGGAGTGGTGGGCCTCAGCACTCACCTCAGTAATCTCTCCAGACTAATGGAAAACTCCCAAGACAGGTAGGAACTATGAAATATGAAAATATGATGGCACAGCAAGAAGCTCAAACAGACAAATGCAGATTTATCTGTCATACAAAATTAATTTTGCACAGCTCGTCCTAATTGTGTAGAATTTTTTTAAGGTGTTTTATTTTCTAAAATGTGGCTGTGTGCAGCGAGCGGCTGAGGGAGCTGGTTGTTGACTTTCGATCTCCAGAGTTTATCACCAACCTGAGCTCTGTCCTGCCTAGGGAGGCCAAAGACACTGTGGCCAACATCCTCAAAGGTAAATGAGACGTGCATTTCTGTTTTATTCATATTTCTTTTGGGGCTTCATGCTCGGTTTTGATCCACGTTGAACTCTTAAACGAGACTGAACTTCAATGTCTTCATGGATCCACCTAAAACCTGGAGACCAGATTTTTTATAGTTTCATGTGGTTGTAGAGGCAGTAAGGTTTTGTTTGTTTATACCCGAGTGCATCAGAAAAACTCTAATCAGGCGGAGCTAAGTGCATAGATTCCTAAAGATGTACCAAACGACCTGATGAGTGTTCCTGACTTGGCTCAACAAGCATAAATTTTTGCAACTAGTAGCGCTAATATTAGCCTTGATAACGAATTGGTATTAGTTCCGAGTTACGCTGTCTGAAGTTTTATTCTTGTTAAGGAAGATTGTGTTTATGCTCAGTTTCAGGTCTGGTATTTCTCATTGTAAATGAGTTTGGTTCAGGATGGATAAAGAAAGACAGCATCAAAATTTGGGTGGGAAAGGTGAAGCACCTGCCACACCTCTCTCCACCCTCATTTGCCCCACTCTGGGGCCTTGAGCAAAGCCCTTGACCCCCAACATCTGCTCCCCTGGACTCTCTAAATGGCAGCTCCCTGCACCACACAGAGGGCTTTGGTAGCTCGGTGGTCTGGTTGCGTCAGGAAGGGCATCCTGCGTCGTTACACCCCACCCCATCCCTGTTTTGGAGGAAGGGGGAGCATAAACATGACAACCACAATAAAATTAACGAGTCCTTGTAAAAGTGAAAGAAGACCAGCTTTATTTTTGTTCTTCTCAAGTCTCTAAAATCTGCAAAAAGGTTGTGGGGGAGAAAGGGACAGTGCATATGCATCAAACTCAAGGCCCGGGGGCCAAATGTGGCTCTCGTTGACGTTTTATCTGCCCCCCCCCCCCCCAAGATGAAATTTTAAACGCAAGATATTTTTTATCACTTTTTATTTTGCTTTAAAAACTACGTCATTTAGTGAAGGCTTCTCTTGACAGCTGGCCAACCTTGTAGGCCAAAAGATTTACATTTTCAGTCATCTTTAATTTTGATGGGAGCAAGGGGAACAGTGAACGTCAAATGAGACCGAGCAAATTCTTGAGGAACCTGCAATCAAGAAAGAACGTCAGGTTTTTCACTTGAGTTTATTTATTCATTGAAACTGGCCGCTGGTTTGAACCATTACATTTTACCCCTTATGTAGCAGAGTTTGACACCCCAACAGCATTACAGTAAAATGTATATGATTTTTGTAGTCATGAAGCTGTATGGAGTCAAATTTTATTTTGACATGACATCCACTGCTGGACAGATCAGAACACCCACTGGTGTACTGGCTGAACCATCAAATGTGTACCCACGTCTGTTCACACTGGTGAAACATTTTTTTATGCATGCCAGCATCATCGGTCCCTTGCGAGCGAGTATTTTCCATGTGTGGGGAGGTGGTGAGCAAAAAAGAAACCGGCTAAGTCCTAAAACTGTTGAAAAACTGATGTTCCTCAATAAATCTTTGAAATGTCCCAATCTTTACACTGTTTTCCACAGGGACTCTGGATTTCTCATTGTCATTGTTATTTCTAACAAAGATGAAGACTCTGACATAGTAACACAAGCACACCAATACCATGCATCATTGCACATTCAATCTTTATTTGAAAATAGAATGTGCAAACATCAACTTTTAAAACCAAATAGTCCAAGTGGGGTCATATAAAGTTACATAACTTAAACTGTTTTCTACCAGAGTAAAGTAGCTTCTTTAACACTCTTCATTAAAGTTCTTTGGGCATGTGCAATAAAATCAGATTGCCTGATTTAACTGCAGCATTACAGCTGGCCAGCAGAGGTCACTGTAACTGAAGCTTCAAAAAATGAACCAATTTTTGAATTTGTCCCTAGTGGTTTGGTGCTTCATAAAAGCTTCATTTGCCCATCACTAGAAATAAAAACAATAAAAAACCTGATCTGCTTATCTAAATAAAGAGCTCACAAAAATTACAAGGGTGACATCAACCCACTTACCTATTGTATTTAACACAACTTTAAGTGTGGTGGTGTACAGGGTACCACAAACTTACCTACTCAAGTCCTCTACCTCCCACCACAAACCTTTAACAAAGAGCACTGCTCCAGGAAGCAACACAGGTGTGCCAGACGTCATCAGCATGGAGGGGAAACACACACACCACAGGAGAGCTTCCTTTATAGGGCAGTCCTTAGTCCTGATTGGTCCTTTCCAGCTCTCCAACCAATCTGAGCTCAAACCTCCACCAGCCTGCATTCTGCACCTGAGGAGAAAAAGAAGAGGGGGAAAAACACACACAGCCCTCCATACATGTTACATAAAAACAATCGCCAAGTCTTCGTGCGAGTTAGTTCACTGTGGTGACCCCTGAAGGAGGGAGCAGCTGAAAGAAGATAGATAAAGATATTTGGGGGGGGGGGGGGGGGG